CAGGATTTCATCATGTGCTGACATCAGTTAGAGAACCATTGGAAAATCGACGAAGAGTACTGGACAGCTGTTTTGTCAGCCTAGTTGGGGACTCCTCAGCATTGCCCACCCACCCTACCGCGGTTCGACACCACAATCTTCTGGTTACACTGCTAGGGAACTCGTAGACCATTAGGCCACTGGGACCCAATCCAATGGCCAGCCGATGAATTCGAACTTCTGCAGAAGTTATCCCTCTAGACACCATTTTCAGTGCTTACTCCAGTGTCATATAACGAATCATTGGGTGTTTGATATTTTTAGCCATTTCATCATCTTGCTTGACTTAGATTGCAGTAGCTCCAACTGTCATGGAGTAAGCCATTTAAGTAAGTGTGGATGAATGTTTTTCTGGATAATAAATGACTGAAACAGACTATGAGGAGGAATAGTTGTTTTCATCATACACTGAATCTATTGAATACTTTCTGTCTTAAAAAATCATACCTGTATTTGATGGGAATTTGGATGACTGCCTTAAAAATTTAACTTTCTATATCCGAATGTCAGACCAGCTAATTCAGTAACTAGGTAAGGTGATAATACATAATATAATCAAACCTCACACAGCTCCATACTACGTAGCTAAGTTATAGTTAACTATATCTTTCGTAAGTAAATTTATCCTTATATCGCTTACTGAAGTGAATGGAGTTATCCTGATTAGATATGAAAATTGTGAAGTTAAGGTCTAGGATGACTGTTCCATCAAGAGTACAGCAATACTATTCTATGTAGACATTAAATATATGACATACATAAACTTTGACAAGAATTTGTGGTCTTCAGTTCATTTTACGATCCCACAGCCGACTACTTATCCTCACGCTCAGATTGGGGGATGCCGTAGTCAGGATTCATCAATCTACCAGCAGGTTCCTCCCGTATTTAGTCACTAATATGCAGTGGATATATTTTCAAGAGTTTGTTTGTCGAGAATTGACTTTGTCACAGTTTCAGACTTTTCCCCGTGACCTCACTAACAATTAAACCCAGAATTTTCAGATTAAAAGGTGAACATTTGCGTCATTTCATCAGTGGAACAGAATGCGATAGCTTAGGAATTTTCAGATTGGCAAAACTTAGGATTCTGATAGGACACTAGTAACTAGTGTGACGTGTCTAGTCCTTTGTTTGGTGCAAAGTGAATTCTATCAGTCAGGTTTGCAGTACGGCCAACATTCTAGGTAGATCGCTCGCCATCACGGTGTACATTGATTTGATGATATTAGATAGTTGGAGGTAATCGGCCACAGGAAGCCTTGGACCTAGGTTTCGTGCTAGGACTAGACACGTCACACTAGTTACTGAATAGTGTCTAATCAAAATACCTACTACAGTCCTACAGGAAGGAGGTTAATTGCAAGCCCGAATAGCTCAGTGGGAACGTCTCTGACTACAGCCTCACTGGGTGATGCGAGTTCGAATCTCAGAAGGGACATGAGTTCCTTCAAGGTCGCGGATACGCCCGCTGACTGGTGAGTGCCAACTAGCGCGAAACCTAAGTCCAAGGCTGGGCTTCCTGTTGCCGATTGCCTCAAACTATCTGTCATCAAAGAAATTAGGATTCACAGCTGTGCTACAAGGTTTTCGACGGCTTTTTCTAAAACTTTAGCGTAGAATGTAGTGATTCAATCGTTATAGATTTACTAATTAGGATATCAAAAATAAAAATGAAAATTTATCCAATCTAAATAAATCCTTTCTGTTTCTATTTATTTTTTTGTTATCAGAAAGGATTTTACTGCGATAATTCATGTTTTAAAATAACTTTGAAAGTACAAAATTTAGTAAACTTTATAATGAGGTCAGTGTTATCACATGGTATTCAAAATGATAAATATTTTAAAAACCAATGAGGTCAGATTCTGTACAATGTATACATTATTTTTAAATCTCTCAGATTATAAGTTCACAATACACATCAACTGATATTCTATTTATATAGAATATTCTAGATCAAAATTTTAGCCTTATTCCAAACAATACAATACAGTTTATGAAGCGTTGAATTTTCACCATGTAGTATACTATTGCGTCTAATTTTCTCTGTACAATGCATAGTATGGAGAAAAATAATTCACATAAACATTTGCATTAATTGTGTTTTATGATTCTTTCAAGTCCTACCTCATGGGATGTGAAGGGTGAGGCTGAAGAGAGTGCGACAAGATGATATTTACTCATTTGTTATATGAGTTCAATTGTCCGTCCACAAGAGTAATAAAGAGTTGGTTTAGAGAACACTCACCATCCTCCCAACGGCTTTTAGTGTCCTTCTCAATGCGACAAAGTCTTTCTTCAGTAGCCTAGGAAAGACTATGCGGGAATAATAAATAAGAGTAGGCAGAATACAATATTTAAAAAAACTGTAAAACTTGAGACTGAGTGATACCAGACTGTCTTAACTTCTTTACGTAGAATGTTAAACTAAATATCGTCCTAGCAACTAACGTGATGTGAGAAAACCAGAAAAGATCAATGGAAAGACACAATCCAAAGCATTTCAATCAATTTTAGATTTCAATATAGAAAAAAATCCCCATTTAGACATTTAGAAAACAGAAAGATTGAGCGAAGAAATATTCACTTTTCAATTTTAGATTTTCCTATCTATTGATTGGACCGAAGTGCTCAGTCTCAAGTTGATATGTGGGCTCCTTGTGCAGATGCTTCGACGATGTCTGGGCATGTAAATAGAAGTTTTTTTGGTGGAAGGTGACTAGCATCTGCACAAGGAGCCGACATATCAACTTGAGACCACCAGACAATGTCATCGACTAGTATTTTTCCTCAAGTTACACCTAGTTGACATCACTGGTCATAACTTCCCATTAGAACTCCAGGCAACTTCGTTCTGTAGCCACTCAGTCACTAGTGAGCATCAGATTAACTTTCATGAGTCATTTTAGAGAAATTTGATTTGTTTCCAGTTTGATCAGGGATTGATGACAGTTAGAGAACCGTCGGAAAACTGGGAAGTATTATGCAGCTGCGCCGTCCTAGTTTGGGACTCTTTATCAGTATGGACCCATAGGGTATCAGTGAGACGTTGAGTCAGGTCTCAGTGACTGAATGCCCTGCAAACTTCACTTTTAACCTTGAGATGTTGGGTTCGAATCTCGATGAATACTCCCAAAGTAGGATGAAACAAATATCCCTCACTTCAGGATGATTTTCATTACTTCTCTAATAGAAGTGAGCCAGATAACAATGGAAGGTTAGGTGTGATGGAACTAGCAAAAAAACCCTGTAAAAAATTACAATCGTTACTGAAATCTCAACGCTTGAACTTGAAGCTTTATGTTCCCCTCGAAATGCAAAGGAATGAGAAGGAAAATACATCTTCAAAAAACATCATCAACATACCTTAAAGTTGTTTTCGGTGCAATCGTTTACTGAATATCTTGAGTATATGAACACTATTTTCTTTAAAGATATTGATCTATCCAGTATTTGTAAAAAATGGTAATAAATGGTACTAGAAGTTTAGTTTCTTCCACCTACATTTAGTGCCTGTCTTCTTGATGTATTCAAATATTCACATAGTTTTTGTGTACACACAATACAGGTGATTTTTCAGCCTACACAAGAGTTTAAATCTTAATTACAGCAGTTTCTTGTGTTATTTCACTCATCAGCCTAATTTCATAAGTGAAAATTACTAATCTCTCAGCTATAAAAAAGAAGCACCCTACCAGTAGTTGCCAGCTTAACGTGGAGGTCGGAGTTGCACGTCACTACAATAACCTATACTAACTGGAACTCTTGTTCATGTATGTTTTTAGTATGTCAGAAAGCTGGTTCGGATAGCTGTGCGACTAAAAGCAGTTGCCATCATAGTGTTAATTGCTTAAACCATGATCGGCATCTTTAGGTGAAGGCGTGCTGCTGGAGAATAAAGATGCAACAATAGTTAACTGTTTCCCTCATGTGACCACTTAGCTAAATATGCATTGGAGATGGGCGGGAGGTAAATTAGAAAAGATCAACCCCCAAAAGTTGTACATCTCCATTTATCTTGTGATGGTCCGTAGCCGGGGGTAAAGTCTTGAAACAAATGCAACTCTAGAAGCCACTTGAAGCCACAGGCTTCATGTTACCCGCTCAGAGCAGTTGTTCCTTGGGCTCTGTGGTCACACATCAGTAAGGCTTCTTCTATTTCAGACACAAAAAAACAAGAACTGTAAAGAATACATCTTAGACAAGTATGAGACGAATTATCTAAACTGATCGCCTTAAACATGTCTTGGAGTTCATTTGATGGACATTTCTGAAGTACTTCCGAAACGTAATTTTTCTTTTAAACCTGATTGTATATATATATATATCATGTGTTCTTCACCTTAAATAAACACAGCCCTCGGGGAATTTTACTAAAACGTTGTTGAAAAACTTTGAGGAACGCAATTTGTTTTACTCTTGCTTCATTAACTGCCTGATTTGATGCTCACTAGCGACTGGACCTATTCAGGTAGATAGTTACCTGGGGTTCTGGTGGAAATTCGTGACCAGGAGGGTGCAATAGGTCCAAGTTGAGGAAAGTTACTCATCGAAGGAGACATTACTGAGTGGTCGTACTATGTCGTGAATTAGCAGAAGTTAGAATTCATCGGCTGGCCATTGGATAGGGTAGGTCCCAGTAGGTGCTGAATGGTCTGCGAGCTCTCCCGCCTTGTAACTAGAATGTCGTGGGTCTGAACCCCAGTGGGGTGGTTGCGTACTGATGAAGAGCCAATCGCAAACTAGGACGGGGGAAACATCTGTCTGGCAGTTCACCCCATCTGTTTTCCAGTGGTTCTCTAACTGATGTCAGCTCATGATGAAATCTTCCAATCAACCTCCCCTTTTGTTATATTCAAATAACAAGTTGTATTCTGCATGTTTTTATATTAAACCCTAAGGTGTCTTTTCACCACGGATATCTATGTTTCTTCTTCTTATTTTCTTTTGCTACTCAGCAATTGAAGATGGATCCAGTACAAAACCACTAATTAATTTAGTCCTTCGTCCTTACGATGGAAAGTTAATATGGCAATCATCCTCGGCACAAATTTTACCAGCATTAAAAGATGACTATAAAAGGTTGTTCACCGTAGAACCTGAACAAGTGATAATACCACCACATGAAGAATTCACCGTCACTATAGTAATGAATGCAGCAGAAGCATATTCAGAAATGATGTCTTATTCAATGTTTAATTTAAAAGCTCATATTACTGGTTATTTAAGTATTGATTCTAAGGAATTTCTAGATATTCCAAGGACAAATGCATTGATCACTGAACAGTTACGTTTTGATGTAACTGCTAAATTAGAGCAACCAAGGTAATTAATTGTGTATGTGTGTGTTTGTGTTGGTTTCCAAAATTATTTATACTTTTGCGTCTGTTTTCTTAAAATTGACGGAACAATTTCGCTAAAAGTTAGAAAGTTGATTGACATTATTTCAGCATTATATTACATTTATTATTACTATTATTCGTGTGGGATCAGAGTGGAACATAAAGCTTGCACAGCACATCTCCATCTCACTTGATTCTCTGCAGTGCTTTATAGCTGGCCTCACTATTTCTCAAAACCTTCCATTTTCCCCTCGCGCGATCCCCTCTATCTCAGTCTCACAGTTCTCCATTCGGGTCCCACTCGACGGTCTATACTGTGCATGATGTCACCCAATTTTCTCCGTAGTACATTTCCGATCCATCTCATTTTTTTGTTGGTCAGTTGACTGGTTAGTAACTCTGTAGAGTCGTCTACCTTCCGTGATCAGCTATCTGATCTTCAAGGTGGAGTGAAGACTGCTGTCGATAAAAGTCGGCAGTAGGCTGTTTAAATCTTCCTCTTGACCCTCCACGTCTATGGACTATGTAGATGGCACTGACTTGATACCGGTATTAAATGTTGGGATGTCTCTTCTTGTACTCAGTTCACTGGAGTTAGATGTCGATTTATTTCGACATTAGTTGCCTTATAAGGGCTGATGTAGCTTCAAACAAAATGTCCAGTTGAATGCCGATCATCAATGACAAATTATCTACTTATAGAATTACTTGTACCAACTAAAAAATGCTTCTTTTAGTCCTTTGAGTACTGAGTGGAAAATTAGTATTCAAGCTTATAATTCTTGGTAGCAGTGACGTTAACTTTATGTCATACGGTCTCTTGTCTCACGCGCAACCTTTCCTCTTTAATTGGCTTACTGTCGAATAGTAAACAAGGAGACGTTTAGGAGTGTTTCGGTTAACAATCGAACCTCAACCGTGTGTGTGGTTAGGGAGCATTCTAAACAGAACCACCAATTCGCGATTTCACAACACTGCTTTTTTCGTCATCATTTATGATGTTAAACAGGTTGAGAATTTTAATTCAGAATATATTTGGCTTTTCACTAATAGAAGCTGTTTAATGCCTGAAATCCTAACTGTATTTTACGTATTCCTAGCTGATTCAAACAGCCAAATGGAATTCAAGCACTTTGAATTTCATCACCTCTGTGATCTGAGTCAGTCCGTGTACAGAACTGACGAGGTTGGCTTAAAAACACATAAACGTACATCAAGTGTTAAGGGCACTACGAACCTGCCTATCAAACAATACTAGTTGGTGGCACAGCGGTTAGCCCAATATCCACTTTTTACCGAACTCACTATCAGCTTACCGAAGTTTAGAGTTATGTTTGCCGGAAATCGAAACCAGCCACACAATCTGCGTAGTTAGTTTAAAACCAAACGACGAGACATCATCTATCTGCATAAACAAAACATCACTGCACACAAATACTATCTGCATTATCATTCTGATGATGTAAATTATCTGATGACAGAAACCCAAGTATTACAGTCAGAACGCAAGAAACAAAGAGGTGCAATTATTTTCTATAGCTGGTCAAATATCCACAAGTAATACACAGCACCAAAATCTTATTCCAGTAATGTCGAAAACATACAGACTCTTATGAGATAGAATCTGTGGTACTGATCAGTAATTATAATAAATTACACCAAAAGATACCAAACGACTTCAACATTGCCCTCCGGCTGTCATACAGTCAGTCGAAAAGTACCTCAAGTAAAACAAAAGTGAATGCGTATTATACAACAAAATCCACCGAACAAATACAATCTCAGATCAATTGAAAATCACTTGAGAATACTCTCAACAAGATCCGATCAAAACTCTATCTGCAAGAGTCAAAATAGAACAAAATCAAGTTTGTCTCAGATAGTCAAGTGTCAATCAGTCAAAGCCTAACGATGAATTCATTCAAATAAAATCGCCGTTGTGAGACAACACATCATTATCGACACTATCAGGAGACAGCAAAATGAAGTACTGAAAATAAGCGTCAGCCAAAAGCAAAGATAAATAATAAGGGCGGAGTCATAAATAGATATGCGAACGTTAAAACAATGATATACACCTTTGGAGGAAAGGATAGAATAACAGTCAAAAGTGGAGAAACTGCTACCTCATGTTAACTCCAACTGTGTTTACTAATTTACGTGTACGTGCAAAGCATATTACATTGGAAGAACAGAGAATGGCTGTTGTGGTCCGCATATACGAACACATACCAAAGAACCTCAGACTAGAGGGCTCACAGGCGTTAAATAGTACGATTGCACTCCACCTACTGGACACCGGACAGTGTAAAAGCGTTCAAAATAGCAAAGAGACAAATGAAACCTAGCCTGCTACGTTTAGCTAAGGCAATCGCAATCAAATGATTAAAATCAAATCTATGTGCGCAGAAAGCGACAGTAATGAATCTTGCACTGCCATAGTGATAACCAAGAAGGCGAATTTTACTACGGCATACTCTATCCTGTTTAAAAAGTTTTATTTTTCATCTGAACATGACTCACCCTACACCCGTTCTTCTCTCTTTTCTGGCTAATTTATAGAAACTTATTCCCTGTGATTACCTATTATGTTATTATTATTGTTTCCTTTAATTCATAGAGGAACATAGGGCTTCAGAAGTGCATCTCCATTGCGTTCGGTTCTCTGCTAGAGTTTTCACCTGGCTCCAAGTGTGCCCATACGTTTTCATCTCCTCTTCAAATGACCTCCTCCAAGTCACCCTTACACTGACGACCAACTCGCCACTTCACTTTGTCTAGTGATGTCACTCGATGGTTTCCTCAGAGTATGGCCAGCCAATCCATCTCCATTTCTTCCTGCCTATTTGTTTCACAATCGGTTCCTGGTCGGTTCGCTCCCAGAGATCCCTCCGTATTGCTGATCTTTTCTGGCCATTTGATCTTGAGTATTGAGCGAAGATGACTGTTATTGAAGGTCTGTGGTTTGTTTGAGATGCTCTTTATGACGCGCCAAGTCTCTGATCCATCCGTATAGGAGCACTGACTTCACATTGGAGTTGAAAATCCGGATCTTATTTTTGATGCAGAGTGCTGTTGACCTCCACACAGACTTGAGAGTAGTGAAAGCTTGTCTTGCTTTCCCGATCCTTGCTTTGATATCCTCTCCACTTCCGCCTGTAGTTGAAACGATGCTTCCCAGGTAGGTAAAGGAGGTTATTTCTTTCAGGTTCCTTCCATTTATGCTGATTGTTGTCTGTTGTTATTGTTGCTGCTGTTGGTGGTGTTGGCCAGGAATCTTCATCACCTGTTTCCTCTATGTTCACCTGAAGTAAGTCCTATCTTTGATGCTTCTTCTGCCAACTTGTTGCTTTTCGCTTGCATATCTTCCAGTTTGTGGGAAATCAGACATATATCATCGGCGAAGTCAAGATCCTCCAAGTTTTTTGTGTGAATCCATTTTATGCCTATTTCCTCATTGCCCGCTGTTTGTCGCATTATCCAGTCTACTGCAACCAGGAAAATCACTGGTGATAGTAGGCAGCCAGCTTGTCTTACTCCTGTCCTCACTTCGAAAGATTCCGTGAGTCTCCCATTGTGGATAACTTGGCGGCATGCAGCATTGTCGTACAACTGTTGGATGATATGTATAATTGTAGGTGGCACTCCGTAGTAGCAAAGTAGTTACCAAAGCACCTCTCGATCGACGCTGTCAAAGGCCTTTTCAAAGTCGATGAAGTTGAGATAGAGAGGTGACTGCCATTCCAGGCTTTGTTCAGTGATGATCCGTAATGTGGCGATCTGATCAATACATGACTTGTTTCTCCTGAATCCAGCCTGCTCCGGTCGGCGTTTTTCATACAGGGTGGCTTGTTTGATTCCCTCCAAGATGATGTGGGGCTTAGTATTTTGCTTGGAATGGACAGGGGCATAATTCTGCACCAGTTTTTGCATTGACTTAAGCCTCCTTTCTGTGGTAGTTTGAATAAGTATTTTTTCTTCCAATCCTCGGGTACATTGCCTTCTTCCCACACCTTCTCCAGTAGTGGCGTCATCAAGTCCGCTGTTGTGTCTGGGTCCATTTTCAATTGCTCTGCTGGGATTCCACCTGATTATGTAACCTATACTCTTTCTAGTTAGACTTTACTTCTACTCACAAAAATCTGTTGAACTCTGTCTTTTTGTATCCAAGGCTAGTCGTCTAATTTTCCTATAAATAGTCAGTCCTTTTCACCCTTTAATTATTTAACAACCCACATCTTTCCACACTCATATTACTCTTAGTTCCTACGAATTACTTCTTGTCATCGTGGACAAAAGTACGTTGTAATCTTCCATGTAGTTTATATTTTTCTACTGTACAGCTTGTAGTCTGCCATTTGAGAAGAATCCTCGAAATAATAGAAAACATGAGCTCATATTATCCTCCTGGAATTGTCGTTCTTGCCTTATTCAAATTTATGAATTGGGAGAACTGTATCAAGTTTCTGAAGGGACAATTTCTTCTCATCAATTTTCTCCGCTTTTATTACATAACAACTTGATAATTTATCCTTAAAATACAGCATGATTATAGATCCGGGCCTAGTAATAGAAACGGATAAACATTTATGGAAATGTCTCCTTTCATATGGATTAAAATTTTTCAGATTAGACTAGTGATCTTATCTTTTCCTGCGGGATGCAAATGACATTTTCTAAATTCTACTGTCTGACATACCAGAAGAAGAACGAATTTATTATTATCATCCTGTGTTTCTTCTGAAAATGGTGCAAATAAAGTCTGTATGCTTAGCAACAAAAAAACACAGGTTTTTCGGCACGTTCATTCGGAAACTCCCAAACTTCCGACATAAGCGCACTTTATAAACAAATGAGAAAGGAGACATTGCTTTATACTTGGGAAACAACTTTTTAACAGAATAACAGATTTGAAAATCCCATTCCCCATGAACGTTCTTTTTTGAAATATTGATTATTATTATTATTTCCTTTCGTTCCTAG